TCTGTTTTAATGCTCTCGAGAAAATGGACCCGTGCGACCCCTTGTCTCGCTTCTTTTTTCTTTCCCTCTCGGTTTGGAACTTAGACCGTGTGTGCACGTGTTAACACATGTTCGTATTGGTTCGTGGCTACAGCAGTGTTGCGCGGGGAACGAGGGCGGACGAGTGTACGATAATGTTAAACTCGGAAGTCTTCCGGGAGACGTTCGTAAAACCGATTGGTCGAAAATATTATTTCTAGAATCCGTTTAGGGTACAAAGTATAGTTTGTGAACGATTATCATATTAGATAATTAATAACGATAAAAATGGACATTGTCTTATTGTGGGATGGAATAGGCTGTGTAAGCTCCGTCAATGCCAGATGCTCCGCTGCGATCTCCAAAGCAGTAAAACGTACAGAAAGAAGAACCAAAAGAAACGACGAGTGAAAGAAAAAGAATATATACGTATGTACATACGTATGCGTGAACGTAAAAGTCTTTACGATGGACTATGGCTCATCATCGTAAGATATTTTACACGATCGTTGATCGAATTGGAATCCGATCGGAATGTTTCACGAGTACCAAATAAAATACCGAGCGAAAAGTAAAAGAAAAACTTGACTGGATAACGTATCGTGCCTGGAAACGGAAAATATTTATTGATCGTATGCCGGGCAGGCGCATGTAGCATCTCGCTGTGACATTTGTGAGTCTTTAATTTTCTTTCACCCATCAATAGTCTTGAATTACCAAAAAATGGACAGAGATACCCCTTCGCCCGCGACGTTTCCCTTCGCGTGAGAACGCGTCGGCGCCTTCTCGCGTTTTTTTCTTCTTTTTTTTTTCTTTTATAATCCCACTTTCGTTTTGTTAATTAAACTGCGAGTGTACGCAAAAATAATCGAAGAGAGCCTCGTCCGTTAATTGTCGTCGCTGACCGTGGGAGGAGGGAACGTCGCGTCGCAGACGAGTTTTATTACATATTTTATCAATAAATATATTACGCACAGTGACATGTTCATTATCGATAGCGTTAGTATTGTTCTAATTGGACAGAAGTTATTGTTTCTCGTTTGTTGTCTCGTTAGTTTTTGTCTCGTTTCGTTTTGACTGATGTCGTTGACAATTTTTGACTCGCTTACGATGATTGTTACATCTTAAGTCGTTAATTGCTTCTTTCATTCAACGTTCGTTTCTCTCTTGTTACACGTTTCATACCTCCATTCACATTTTCTCTTCTCAGCATCAGTTTTGTATTGCACACGACACATCCTATCTCGTTAGCTAGTTTAAAAGAAAAGTTCGCCATTTTGTCTTACACACGTGATACTTTTCTCGCGGTGCGATCCTTTCTGTTTCTATTATAGTATACGAAAGGAATACGTAGCGGTAAGCTTTGTCTTTTTTTCTCAGTCCGTCGTACAAAGAATCGGTATCATCGATAGTAGTATTATCGATAATAGTGAGCAAATCACGTTGAAACGTATCAAGTGTGTGTATTATTTAATGTTTTTTTCGCGATCAACTATTTCAAACAGCAGAATTCGTGCAACGAATTATAGACGACGAGGTGTGTGTTAAGATATAAAAGATTTAAAGAGACAAAAATATGGAGGAAGAAACAATCTCGGATCAACGCATCTTTATGAAGGATCGAAAAGATAAAACGAAGCAAGCTCGTGTTTTCGTTTGTTTAAATTCGATGCCTACTATCTAAACTTACGAACCTAGTATTGCGATCCTGTGTGTCGCGTTGCACCCCGAGGAGAAGAAAAAAAAACACACGGACTGGCGTGCTCATAGCCGGCACACGGAGGTCGATGTGAATTTTTTTTAATTCCTCGCGCTTTGCACGATGCTACGCGCACAGTTTGCTTCAAACACTTCGCGCTGTATAAATTAATCGCGTGTTATGTTCGCGGTAACAACAACGTAATGCTCGACGAGGGGATTTGTCATAAAATTGTATGATACAGTGAGAAGGAACTTAACAGATTGCGCTAAAAAAATACAATGTGTATATATATATATGAAACGATTGTATACATATAAAATCTTTGAATAATCTACAGAACGCAATACGTAATACGTTTGTCTCGGAGAAAGAAAGGATCATTTTTTTTTCTTTTGGCCGTCCGTTTTCCTTCTGCTTTATGCCATTCGTTAATGACCGTTTCTCCGTCGTTGGTTAATCACGGAGAATGAACAGGTTCACTGGCAATCGTGCAACCGTCTGTCGATCATCATATCTTTTTCAACGATTATCACGCGTACATAAGTAACATGTAACGGTATATTTTTCATTGCGAGTGCTATCGATGCTTAGATATTACGGGACACCGTTTAAAATTGCGTTTCACCTCGCGGATCGCTTGGATCGAAGGCGAGAGGATTATGCTCGAAATAAGTGTCGTGATCCCGTTTCTTATTCGAATCCCTCTTTTCTCTGAGGTTCCTTTTTTAAAAAATGTACAATTAACCGCGAACTAAAATACGATGCATCCTCTTACGTGTAAAAAGTAAATGGCTCATCATCCCAGTCGTAAAATGAAAAGTTTTTTGTGGAATGCTTACAAATTATACGTACGCGATTTGAACGTCGTTCGCCGACTCTCGATACGCGAGAGAAACTACGAACACATTCTTATTCTTCTTCTTCTCCTGCGTATCGATACGAATCCGTTCATGCGTTTCATTCTCACGATTTCTCTTTCATTCTCTACCACTTGTTGTCTGTCTGTCTGTCTGTCTGTCTCTCTCTCTCTCTCTCTCTCTCTCTCTCTCTCACGCACACACTCTCACCCTCTCATTTATCGGTCGCTCTACGCTACTGAAAATGCGAAGTAGTAGTAGTAGTATTAGTTGTTAGACTATACATACTATGCTTCAGAGAACGGCATACTGGCTGTTCGAGATCGAGAGAACATGTTCCTTCCTGCTTCCTGCCTTTTGTGTGTGATACACATTCGATAATGACCTAATCATCTCGTTTAAGTAATATTTATAAGTTAATTAATAATCCATAGCTGCCCTAAATGTCTAAGGGACTGAAACACTGCTGCTACACATATCATAGGCATGTAGCAATTAGGATAATTTTTTAATGGCTTAATTATTAAAACGAAGTTACGGTGAAGCGGTTGTGTTGCCGTCGTAGTTACGATTCGTTCACTTGCTCCGCGGTGAAGATCGCGTGCCGGTTGTCAACACCGTCGATAGACCCTCCCCCCGGCTTCGGCTCCGGTGCAAGGAATGTAAACCCTCACCTGAATCAGACACATCTTTCTCGTTTTTTTTTTTTTCTCGCACGACAAAATGTCAATTTCATTAGTTCCTTCGTTCGGTCAACCGTTGTTATCGTTCGTTTATTTATAAAAACAATTAACAGCAACCGTTGGCCGAATCGAATCGTAGTCGGAAAATAATATCGAGGACGTCTACCGGAGATCGAGACAGATGTTGTTTTTTAACTTGTGATAAAATACCGATCGTCTTACCTCTGCTGACGCTCCTGCGCATCGGTGCTGGCTGAGGGGTGCTGACAGTATAATTCCTAAGCGCCCTCCCTCGTTTGTCCTGGATAAGTTTGTCCACTTTCACGAATATCCCGCATTTCGGGCGACACGTAAAGTACCTATGGCCGTTCACAGCACCATCGTTTTTACCTGGAACAATCGAATTCCGTTTCGGAATCTCTTGCACGAGAGAGAGTACGCGCGTACGTACCGGTCGGAGCGTCGAGTTCAATTCCTGTCCACGTTCCAGACGCGAACTCCGTCGGTCCAACGTACGCTATCACACCGGAATAGCTGTACGGGCGAACCAACACCGATTCACCGACCACCACCCAATCCGGTAGCGGAGTCTCGACCCTGCTCAAGTCATGCCGCGAACCGAAAGCCGAACTTTTGTCGCTCGCGTCATCTGTAAAATCGACAACGATGATCGAGTAACGATCGCACGACTCTAACTTTGAAACAGTTTCACGGGCAAACGAAAACGATTGTACAACGCGTACCGTCGATTCGCTCGGACGAGCTGTTGTCCCCGTTCTCGTAGGACATGTCAGGTGCCCGCATCGATTGTTCGTATCGTGCCGCGACTTTGCTCTCCGAGAGCTGTGGACGGACCATGGGGAACGAGGCCCTGTGCTGAGAACTCTTAGGCCTTCCCGGCGTGCCGGCGGTAGCTTTCCTTCGTCGCACGACCTGTAATCATCACGGAATGATCACGGTTGCACGATCGAAATCAAATCGAAAATGTTCGAAAAAATGCACGGAAAAAACACCTTGCCCGGCGGTAGCTTCGTGCGTACGACGGAGCTACCCTCCAAAGGGCTGTCTTCCCCGGAATTCGACGCTTGACTAATTTCCACGTCGCTTTTCCTTCGTCGATCGTTCAAGACTTGGCTGGGCACATCTTTCTTCATGCGAATTGAACTGCCGGTGGTATACGTCGAACCGCTGTTCGCGTCACTGTCGCTTTTCGTCGAGGAAACCGGGCTATCGATGTCTGCGTCCACGTAGGCGCCCGTTTCCTCCAAGTTCCTTCTGCTGCGCTCTGTGTGTCACAAGAGAATATACATTTTATCCGGACCGTGGTCCAAAACCAGTGGAAACGGCGACATTTAAAAAAGCCGATCTCGACGATCATTTTCAACGCGAGTATTTGGTCTCGTTGAACTAACCCTCGCCGCGAGTGTTCTCCGTCGCGTTCAACTTCCCTAACGCGCCGGTCACTTCGCCCATGTATTCCTCCGGCGTCTCCTCGACCAGCGAGCTGTCCATCCGTTCCGGTCTCTTGCCATCCAACAGACTGCGGTACTCGAGGTCCGGTGTCTCGTCCACGCTGATGGATTTGACGGAGATCGAGTCCTCGGACGTGAGATTGGTCGTGGACACGGCTTGAGAACCATAACCACTGCTGCTCATGCTCGGCGTGTTGATCTTGGTCGATTGAAATTCGACGAGAGAATCCAGTGTGCGTGAAGAAGTTAGCGGTTTTACTGGTTTCGCCGGTGCCTGAACGTCAATCGCGTTTTGTGACTTGATTTGTGATCATTGAGAGACGATGCGTCGTCGAATTCGAGCGATTCGACGAGACGAAACGATCGTGCTCGACTCAGCACTCACATCGTTCCATCGTTTTATTTGAGTTTACTTAAGAACACGACGATGCTTCTCTCTCTCTCTTATTAAACTACAAATTCCGAGTCTCGCTCGCAACATTTAAATCGACGTGAAGCGTCTTGTGTCCTTGGAGACGATAGTTTCAACAGCATAGAAGCGATCTGACTGAATAATAAGCGTACCGAAGAAGAACGTTTACTACCTGGTACGAATCGTATTCCGAGTAATCGACGTCGCTCTTCTCCTCGTCCTCGTCGCCGCGAACAGGCGTCGACAGTTGATTTCCGGCGTTCGACGTTTCCTCGTGCAGGGTGGTCATTCGTAGACCGAGTTTACCGCTGACCATGTTCGGAGACGCTAAAAACGAACATATAATCGTGTCAACGGAAAGTCGGCGCGACCGTCTCCTCACAAAGAAACTGTGACGTAAAAATTCGTGAACATCGGGGCCGATCTGGCCACCGTCAAACTGTAACGAGCGTTTCTTTAGGCGCGGTTTCAAATCGATCTCCCCTGGTTGGTCACGACTATGTTTTTGCGTTGGGTATCGATATACATTCCGTACGTAATCGGGTTTATGATCACACTGATTGAGAGGTGCCAGGTCGGTTCCGACATACACGTGTTCGTGATTGAAAAATATTCAACACAAGGACTATCCATGCTGTTCCTAAAAAAAAAAGGAAAAAAAAAGGAAAAAAAAGGAAAAAAAAGGAAAATAAAAGAAAGGGTGACGCGATATATTCCACGTACTATTCGCTGACATTTATTTGCTTCGAGGACCAATTTTGCCCTGCCATGTTCTATACATATTGTTTATACGATGAATCGAGGTGATGGGATAATCTCGATCCACCGTCTCGATCAGTAGCCGTGATAACAATGATACACGCGACTTACGCAGCGATCGAGTTAAATGTTAATGCGAAGCACGGAGGTACGAAGAGATCGAGAAGAGTCGAGCGCACGAGATACGTGGAATATAAGGTAGCCTGAAGTAAAACGTAAAATATACATAGGCAGATAGGTAGGAGAAGAGGGTTCGCCGAACGTGATCGTAAGCAGTGTAACATCGAACACGTACGGGAGGGATGGTGACCGTGCCGTGCGGCGGACACGGTGAGGCTGCGGTATCGGCTACGCACGGAGAAGAGATACCGAGCCAAAAAAACCGATACTTTCATCGTACCGGTATCTAATAACTCAATAAATAAAAGGTGTAAGGAAACGAAAGAGTTTACTAGTCACTACGAGAACGATCGAACGGTCTCTTTCAAACCTGCCCGAACCAGCTTCCACGCGAACGTGATCTTTCAACCGTTTGCCGACTCCGAATGCTCGAGCTGGTTTGAAAGAGCCGACAACAGCGAGTGTCACCTACACTTGGCAGAGGTGGATTGTTGCAGACGTGTCAATGAGTTGAGATTCAGGTTCAGATTCAGGAAGGTTGGTCTCGCTGAAAGGAGATAGACGTACTGATTACACGGCACTCGGTTTCTCTTTTTCTATCGTCGATATCACTAAACGCTATTACGTTTCGTTCTCCTCTCAATGGCGAGATCTCGATCGTTCTTCTCCGATCACCGGCGAAGAATCGCGTCGACATCGTTCGTTATACATACGCAGGTACGTACGCTATGACGTACGCGCAGTAACAGTCACAGTAGTTAAAACGAAACAATCAGCAAACCACGTTTGCTCTCTGAGAGAGGTCTGTCTGGTTCCTTCTGTACGCATTTAATTTTTCTAATTCATGGAACGACTCGACTCGCCATTTTGAACGGAAATCCAAGATGCAGAGATGACAGCATCGTTCGATCTTTATCAAAACGTATTTTCATCTGCATCGAGAATTTCAATTAGAAAATCGTCAACGGTGATCAGCTTAAAGTCGAAGATGATTACCGAGTACCTCGGTCAGTCTTTTTCATTCGACTTTAAACTGATTTATTTCCCGTGAATAAAACGAATGGGAATTTCGTTTGTACTTTCGAGAACGCTGCTCTGTCTCATTCTCTTTTTTTACCAATACACCCATAAGCTTTATTTTTCGACTCCGACGAAGAACAATTGAAATCCGTACTTGGTTAATCTCACGCGATTTCAAACCGTTCTCCAGGAGCGTAGTACGTCACACATACCTAAATCATTAATCAATAAATGTATATGTATATTTATGTACACATATATGATACAGTTACCCTACGTCTGTTTCTAAAATATCGCTGAACAGCACATTCACAAGGTAGAGAGAGATAGAGAGATAGATAGATAGATAGATAGATAGATAGATAGAGAGAGAGAGAGAGAGAGAGAGAGGGAGATATCAGAAACGACTTTATAAGCGACCGTTACTCTTCTCCCCCGTTTTTCTTCTTTCCAAACTGTACGTATCGCTGTCGTAATCATCAGTCCGTTTCGAACAAAAGTTCAGTCTTAGAAAACGTAGAAAACAGATCCCGACGATTCGTCGAACCTGGAATTCGACGAGTCACCGAGGATTTAAAAAGAAGGAAGAACGCGAGGAAAACTATAATGAAAACGTACTAACAGAATTATAGAGATCGTTTCTAGTCTAGCGAAGAAGAAACTTCATTTTGCGAAGGAACTGTTCGAATACGCATGCTTCGTCGAGAAGTGATAACATCGTGGAGATATAATTGTGATTGCAGTGCCGGTGAACATGATCTTTACGCGTATAGTGATCTCTGATAGAAAATGCGGCAGGCACGGTACGAAAATCGCTTCGCTCTTTGGAACGCGCGGTCGCGTCTGTGTGAATCGTTTTTTGCACATCGATCATGATCAGCAATGCGGAATCATCGTATAGTAACGGTCCAACGAACAGACTTGCCGATGCTTGCAGCAAGCAATACATTCGCATGCACGATGCACCGTGAAACAAACGACTAACACGGTCGTTTAAAAACAGTTTCTGTTCGAGAGCACGCTCGAAAGACTCGACTAATTTTTCTGAGAGCTGAGAAAACAACTGTTTTTAAACGACGTCGATTTCTAGACTTGCTCTAGACACAGAACATAGCTCGCGTTGCACAGATGCAGATAGAAAATGCGCGAGCAATCTTCAGAACCAGAATCGGAACGGATCTGGATAAACGACGATGGGTAGAAGCGTTCCTCGAGCTTCTCCGTCGCGTATCAATTTCTTTTCTCCGAGTATCAAATCGATCTGTCAAACCACTTTCCACCGGCTAGCTACTAAGCCAAGATTCCGGTTCTGAACACTGCCGAAAATTAAGGAGCATCGAGACACGCTCGATGAACGTATACGTCACAGCGAAAGCGTGACACACTCGTGATTGACGTGTCGTCAAATCTTTCGTTGCTTTCTGGATTTGTTTGATCTGGTCGAAATCGTACGAGACATGAAACTTGGAAGCCCGACGCATACATCGAGAACTTTCGCGCTCTCACCGCGGCATATACATATACGCGATAAACATAGAACGATACTGAAGGCTTGCTGGATAACTAAGGAAAAGAACAACAGACAGGCTCAACCACTCACGAGACATATGTATATATAATATACTAATCGTCGCTGCCTATTACGGCATCAAAATATCAATCAAGACTCCATTTTACCTGAGTTCAGAATGGAGCCTTGCGTGGAGCCAAAATTGAGTTGTAGAAGTAGTAGTAGACGTAGTGTTTGAACAGAGGAACACACAGAGATTATTATAACACAAGTAATCAATGATCGGTAATCACGTACTCGGTCGGTTTTATAAATTTTGCTACGAGAGAGAACTCGGTGATCGTGACTGTTGATAGAGGCTCGTTAATCGTAAGTCAAAGACTCTGTATAACGTAAAAGTGGTGGGAGCTCAAGTGTCGCTGCTAATATACGCTAGTAGGCGGATCTGATCGTGAGAAACAAATATAGTAGGTTCTTCGTTTTTCTTTTTTTTCTCTCTTCTTACCATGCTCAACTCTTGGCCGCGAGCATGATTCGCGGCGTATCGCGCGATTCGAAAGCTTATAACGAACGTTGGCTAAGTGGTGAAAGAATCGTGCGTGATAAAAAGTTGAACATAGCGCGGTGACATAACAATATGATAGAAGCTGTAAATATATAATAAATACGAAGTTCCAACGTGTGGTGGTGATGGTAGTGGTGGTGGTGGTGGTGGTGGTGTTGTTGGTAAATTGCTAAGGGAGGAGATATCATCAGAGGATCACTGATCAAAACTTTGATCGTGTTTCTTCTAAGTGATTCAAGCATCTTTCTTGCATGGTGTCCTGGCTCCTAGTATCGTCTAATCAAGCGGAACTTCGATTCTCTTTACGCGGGGAGATACGTTACGCAGGACACGACACAAGGGGATGCGAACGATGAACGACGTGAAGTTCGATAACAGAACAAGAATGAAAAACGAAACGGGGAACGCGAAAGGGAGAACGGATGAAATGTGATCATCTTTCATTATTCAGAACCAACATATCCAATGCCAAGAGGAAGACATAACAGTGGAATTTTAAGTAACAATCAAAAACTAGGGCAAATCGTAAAGTGACTAATTCATGGCAAGGTGAAATGTATATATATATATATATGATATAAATATAGATATGTAATATATAAAAAAACACTGCATAAGCCACATTTCATTGATGAATTATAGACTCTCTCGTGGTTGAATGTATAATTCAAAGTAAGCGAAAAAGTCAAGGCAACGAGAAGTGATCGTACGGGTCGTACGGTAAATATGTTTCGTTCTAAGACTAAGGTTCTTAAAAAACACAGTGCCATTAAAAATTGATCAAAGCGTTTCAAATGTGTATAACTCGATATAAATTCGATCGTGGTCCAAAGCAAACTGACATGTCGCATTCGTTGGATCAGGCATGTCCATGGGAGCGCTCCGAGAGCCGTATGACTCGCGTCGATATCGCGCTTCGCGTTCACTTCTCGTCTCCGCTCAAGCGCGCAGCAGGGGCAACGAGAAATAAACAACGTTGCGTTAGCAATAATTTCTCCATTGCTTTACCGCCCTCCGGACAGCGGTTTGGACATGCCTGCGTTAAACGATGGTTTCGCTTGAAAGATCGTTAAAAAAACAAAAAGTTGAAAGGAAACGAACGTGTCGGAAATCAGTCGGTAAAAGTTCGTTTTAAAATGTAAGTAGCAATCCATTTGGCGAAAACTCTGCGTTCGGTGTGAAGTGTGTAAGCTCTGTGTCGAGAGCGGCGGCAGCGGCGGTGGCGGCGGCGGCGGCGGCGGCGTCGTCGATAATGAGAACGTAACAAAACGGAAACGGAAGATTCGTTTAACTATGTTTCGCTACGCCTTCGTTAAAATGTCATGGCAGTGAAAACGCTATGCGGCGCAAAGGAGAACTCTCTTGCAAGAAATCTATTTGTTTGTCAAAATTCAATTACCTTTTTGTTGTCGTACTTATGGTAGTACCGTTGGTTATCGTTAAACATTATTATGAACAACAGTAACGTGTTAATTCTATTGTCGATAGAAACCATTAAAAGATTATATATTTACTCTCTATTATGATATGCGATGTCGCATCGATAGGAAAAAAGAATGGATTACTACGCAACGATCCGTGAACAGATGAATGGAGAAATGAACATAGCGAATGAGTGAAAGTGTATCGTGTGAACGATAAGAAATAGACTTTATCATTTGTCGTTCTGATCTACATACTACACGTATAACCGAGTACCAACCGATATCTTTTATCCTTCTATGATTTCATAAATTTTACCGTTCCATAATCATAAAATCATCGTTGACGCTTTAAGACGAGCGTCTTAGATCAAAGTGATTCGTTCGCCAGCGACGTGTTTAAAATTAAGAAATCATAGAACGTATGATCGCCGAATTCGTCGTAATCCGGTAATGTGTCGATACAGAATGTAATGAATGTGAAAGGCCAACGTAGGTTTGCTTACCGATTCCGAACGGTTTCGCCGGCGCGGGAACCAAGTTCTCGTCGTTCCTGGCGTGGCCGATGGAAGCACGCCTTGGATGAGGCAGTCCGTTCAATTCGGTGTTGAGATCGGTCACGCTCTCCGAACGCGTCACGTTCAAAGAATCCATGGAGGTGTCGGATCGCATGATCTGCAAGCATCAAACGTCTCGTGTTACTTGCCCCCCGCCGCCCCTTGTCTTCGCGGGTGCATGCAGTTTGATCGTTCGCGACCCAAAATCGTGGTTGATCGTCGATAAAATAAAAATAAATTAAACGAAAAGCATACGGTGCGTCCGAGACGGCGGAGAGGCAGTAGTACCTGCGAGAAGTTGGGGACGCTCGCTGTCTTGCGCATAAGTGGTTGACCCTGAGCTTGCAGTAACTCCTTCACCGCGACGCTTTGCCGTAACCGGTCCAACGTAAGAATACTTTCCACCGCGGAGACGCCGCGCGTGTATTTTTCTGAACGCGGGCAGAGAATTGATCATTCTTACTCGTTCGAAAATATCGTCGTAAAGATCGTTGATCTGATCGATGATAACTCACCGATGTACGTCTCGCCGTCGCACAAGCTGTTGTCTTCGCCGCTGGCAGCTATTTGCGCCAAGCTCTCGCGATCTTCCAGTTCCTCGCTCGCCTTTGGTATGTTAGACACGACTTCGTAAGTGACACCGGTCTGCGTCAAGCAATCGGTGCGGACGATCCTCTTGAAAATCTTATCCGTGATACTTTGCCGTTTGTAAATGTTCAGGGCCAATCGTTTACGCAACACGAGGTCCATGGGCGCCGGATGCGAGAGGCGCACCGTCGTTTTTAATATCAGAAAGATCCGTTCGTTCGCTGAAATATTTTTTAAACGATAACGATACCAGAACCTTCTATTATCATCGAACTGTTTAAACGAAACTTACAACTTTACAACAAAACAAACTTACAAAACGTCTAACTTACCGTCCGTCACTCTGTTCAAATGTATGTTGTCGTGTATGCTGGAGTCCCAAGCGGCGATGGCGCAGACGTCTTTCTCTACGCGACGGATGATGGGCAGACTGTAGAATTTGTTGCCGTGCTCTTTGGGTAAGATGGAATTCAATCCAGTCACGGACACTTCTTCCCCTGACTGGTGGGTCGAGAGGTCGTCAGCTGGTATAACACATTTTACACACGTGTAAATCATTGTGTCGATAACGAAAATCGAGACGATACGTACCGTTGAGATCGAGAAAGAGAACGGGAATGTGCGGTTCCATGCCCGGGGGAGGGTTCCAGTCGGCAGGTGCACCGGGAATTCCCGATCCTGCCGCAGGTACCAATACCGCGTTTCTCTCTTCCGTCAGGCTGACCCACTGACTCACGAGACTCTGCTCTCGGTCCGTATCTTGCTCGGTTTTATCTACATACAATCATCGTACCAAACGTAAGTCATCGTCTATCACAGAGTGAAGTCTCGTCTTGATTAAAAGCTATGCAAGGTGCGTGTAGTCCCGTCGCACCTTGTTTGTTGATGAGTTTTTGTATCTGGTGATCCAAGTACTGTCTCCTTCTCATCAAAGCTTCGCTCCACTTCTCTCGCAGTATATTTAAATCCTCGTCTTGATAACTGTCCAACGGAATCTGAAGATGACTCCTTACGGACACGCTACCGACCGCTATGTTCAATATCGACTGACAAATGATGGGCAGCGTTCCCGAATTTTGTACTGGTTTCACGCGAACTTGTATCCGTCGCTGTTGTCCCTGGCGCAACTGATAAATGCCACCTGAAGCAACCACCGGTCAATTTCAATTGTGCACACGCGTATGAACGTGTATTACGATCGAGGGAACCGAATCGGCCGATACCTGTCCACGTGTTTTGTTTGACCACCACGTCTACCGGCGAGTATTCCCCCTGTTCGTTCAGTTCCTGTATTTCGATCCACAGCTCGATCTTTCGCGTCAGCTCCGACCATCGATCGGCCAGAGACCTGGCTTTGGCGAGCTGTTGCTCGACCTCCCAGCCCGGTTTGCTTCGCGAAAATCCGGCACTTCGGTGTCCCCATACTTCTATGCTCAAGGCCCCTTCTGCGTTTCGATACATACCAAGTCGCGTTAATTAAAATATACATGCACAGTATCTGGCAATTGTTCTATTGATCCGGTCGATCTGAAATAATACGCTCACCAGCACAGTGCTCGATGAACTCTTCCGTGATGGGCACGGTGAAGTCCTTGGTGTCATTGAACTTGAACACGAGCGAGTCTCGTTGTCCCGCCTGGCAGTTCGAGTTCAACTGCTCCGAGTTGTCCACGGCCGGGATCACTATAGGATCCGGGTGACCGCAGAACATGTACTGGCAAAACACAAAATGGCTCAGCGACAGGGGCAAGCCGGTCGCCTGTTTGATGGTCACGCGGCACGCGATGTTCGGCGAGCCGGAATAGTCCTCCGGTTCCGACGAGGTCGAATCGTTCGATGATTCCGACGCCGCCTCGCAGATGCGATCCTGGGGAAAGTGACCGGATATTCGACTGATCTCGACCTGCAGTCGCCCGGCCACCTCTCCCTGTTGGCTGATGATCGGCGTGTGATAATCTAGCCGTACGTCGTGAAAGAGAACTTCTAAGAAAATATTTGCCACGCCGATCAGATTGTGATTCTCTTGCGATTCATAGAACGGGTCCTGAGTCTTTCCGGGCACTTCGTCTTTAATGGCAGGTAATCGTTGACAATTGTTCGGATCCTTTCGCTCCTCGTACATATCCCGCATGTCGACCAGCTTGTTCTCCAATTTTTCCATCGACCACACCTGGCTGCCCATGTTCGTTCTTTTCACTAGAATCGCAGGCTCGCTGACGAACGCACCCCGCTGAAAAAATACACTCTATCGTATCGAAGAGTGTGGGAGAAAAACGACCACGAATGAATAAACGAAAAATACGTAAACTGAAAGGACGAAAGGAACGTGCGCATATAAATAATGAAGCGTGAACGAAGGAGGAGGAGGAGAAGGAGGATGAGAACATAAAACGTACGAAAGAAACGTATAAAGAGACGATCTGAACATTTAACAGACTGTAAACGACCCGAAACGCGATGAATCGCAGGTTTCGCGAGCTCGCGCGTTACCAGTTTCATCGCGTGCGTACCTTTCTGTTTGGACTCAAATTATTCGGCGGAATCTGCAGGGTGACGCTGAACTTGGTTTGCTTTCCCATCTCCTCCGCGAGAAAGTTCGCCTCCTGTACCAGCGCGTTCGCCCTCAAGATATCCGCTTTCAATTGTCCCAAACTCCTCTTGAACATCTCGTCCCTTTCTTGAGCCCATTTCTCCACTCGCATCTGCGTGGTTGGCGTGCAAGCGGGCAGTTTACCGCTCTGACTACCTCTCAGAGGATCGTACGGTACGTACGGAGAATAGGGCGTCGAAGGCGACAAGATGTTACGAAGTTGTTGAAATTGTCGCTCGTACTCCTGCCTCTGTTTTTCTAACGCGACCTAAACGTCGTCGTAATCGGTCATTGAACATCAAGTTCACTCGTTAAAGTTCCACCGTTGCTGACTGTCTCTCACCTGCTTGTCTTCCTCGTGCTGCTTCTCGAGTCTGGCGATGGCCCTCTGGATGGGGTCGTTCGACAGCTCGTTCAGCATCAGTTCTTCTCGCGCGAAATTGTAATCGATATTCTGTGCCGGCGTCTGGGGCTCGCTGTTGATCGCTGTTGAACAGAGAACAAACGCGCGTGTCTTGTGTCGTCTCGTTCGCTGATCAGAGATCGCGATCTCCCAAGAATTCGATCCGATAACGTCGATCGTTACCTGTTGCACTTCGGGGACAATTAACCCGGAAGAAGTGATGATTTCCCCAGACGATTCGATCGCCGTGCAGCAGCGGCGTTTTCTCGACGACCTGTGTGCCGTTCACGAAACATCTAGCACCGTTCAACGGCGTCATGTACAAGCCCGTCTCCTCTATCGTGATGACGCAGTGCTCGGGCAGGATGCCCAGGCCGTGCAGCTGTATGTCTTGGTCCGTTTTCGCCGAACGACCACCCACCAAAGTTCTTTCCTGATTTTTAACAAATTACATGCGATACAGCTTATCGATACGATTCCTCTATTTCTCAGAAGAAGAAGAAGGAGGAGGAGGAGGAGGAGGAGGAGGAGAATCGTATAGAGTCGTATGTGAGGAATGTCCTCTTACGTACTTTCAAATAATATACCAGCAGCTCGTTCAAGCTCGGGTCGTCGTTCAGATTGACGAGGTAATACTTGTTCTTTTCTACTTGGATACCAGAGGCTTGTACACTGATACCCATTTTCTCCAACGCCTGTTGCCTCTCGTGCTGCAACCTTTCGGTTTTCACCAGCTTCTCTTCCCACGTCTGCGACATTTCCTTCATTAATCGCTCCGATTCCGACAGCTTCTCCGTTATGTCTGTGCGTTGCTGGCCGACTATCGATCCCTGCCCCTTTTCATTTCGAACAGAAAAGAAGTTCGAGTCGAGAAACTGACCCTCGAGCAATTTTCACCCCGGTGCAACTTTCTCCGTTCGACTCTTCTCGCCGGATTAAAACGGGCTCGCGTGATCGAAAAATTTTCTCGAAAATCTATCGAGGTTCATCGTCGTCGATCCTTGATAAAGAGTCTGATAGAATTTTTATTCGCGAGACTCGTTGACTGAAGCGACTGAACACTGTGGACACACTAAAATTCTCCCGGCCGCTTTAATCGCTCGCGACAGAGTCGTAACGCAGAATTAATACGTGAGCGTTAATGGATTTTGTTCATCTTACGGTTGCGTGCAACAGCATCTCCTTCAATGCTTCCACCTCCTGCCTCAATTCTCGTATAATTCTGGCGTTCGGATCTTCGTTGACCACCGCGTGATTAACGATTCTCTTGGCTCTGTCCGCGTATCGCAACGTGGAAAGCGTCTCCTCGTAGTTATCCGCGGCCGGAGATACAGTAGCTACCATCACCGTCTTACTGTTTCCGCCTAAATTGTCCTACAGTTAGAACGAAACGTACAGTCGTAAACAAGGCAACCAGGTAAAAAGATTTCTCCAACAGCGGCCATTCTCTTCGAACTGAAAATGTCTTTTGACTGCCTGCCACTACTACCTTTAACAGCCACGTCAAAACGGAGTCTCTGTACGGCACGAACTTGTCCTTGTTCTTGTTACTTCCCGAATTCTGATCGGCCAACTTGGAAATGACTAGACCCAACGTTGTTAGGGATCTGCAAACATTTGGTCGTTTTATGCGCGACGGCGCGATACTTGCGTAGCAATTTCTACTTCCGCGGCGAGTACACACGAACGTTCGATCGGACAGACACAGGTGCAACGCTACGGACGAAAAGTAAGAAAAGAATATCGTTTACTTGTTTATATTGCTTCCTTCTTTAAGCCTATCGCCCACCGCTCCGGTTTTCACAGCCCTTTCACTCCCCGCCAAGTCGACCAGGCTCATCCTCGAGACCTTTTCGCCACTGACTCCCCTCGTCATGTTCGTCAGCGTCTGTGTCAGGATGACGGAGAATACCGCGTGCGACCGCGAGCTCTCCGAGTTCATGTTCGTCGCCGCTACCGTTCTCGACTTGTTGCCCTCCACCATTAAATTGTCGATGTCCTGTGAAATATCCAGTTACTCAACTCACACTCGTTACTCTACCCCGGCCGTCCGTGTCGATGCCCGGGGCGCCCGGGGCGCCCGGGGTCGCGATTCGGGGGGCCCGTGCAGGAAAAGCTGTAAGGAAAGCTCAGCTGCAGGAGAATCGGGGGTCGGGTCGTTAGAAGAACCGGAATGATTCCGGGATTCTCGCGAGAGCCTTGGTGGTGTCGAATCAGGATCAGGATCGATTCGTACGTTAGAAAACGATGGCCGAAAGGATGCTAGTCGACGATCAACCAAGCAAATTGAAACTTATCAGTCACGCGTTACTGGTATGCGCGAAACGTGTTTGTTGCATAAAAGAGGTAACCACTACCTTCGCCGCACGGTAAAGCGACCTGATTTTACTTTCTGAACGGATCGTGTATCTTTACCTTCGTTCATTTAACGTCCGATCGTTCGATAAAAGTCATTGGATCGATCGTCGATCGTGACAGTTGCATCGACTCGTTCATACGTCCGGTAGTTAACAAATTGAACACTATCGTATGAGTACTACGTTCGAGTACCGTATGTAATGAACTTTCATATCTGCGACTTGATCGCAGCGCGTGGCACGTTATCGTAGATATTAAATTGTCGAACCACTGCAACGACAGATATTGATTACAACAGTTTCGCTTTGGAGCGATGCCAGTGGCCGGTCACTACGAGAGATAAATACGAGCGAAATGATTCGGTTCTCTGGGCGACGGCCATAAACATTGGCGCTCTCTTCGTTCGTCGAGACTGAACACGATTCCAAGACAATGGCAAGAGCGAGGCTTCGGACGATAGATATTCGGGTAGGTATCGCGCGCGTCTGACCGATAACAGAGAGCGGCGTACGAGAGAGTACGGTCGGCTTACCTGAAAGGACGTTACGGCGAGCTGACTGAGTCCGTCCACGTACGGGCCCAAGACATTGTGTTCCCTCACTTTCAACGACTGCTTGTTCGGCTTCGGGTCCAACAGGTCGTGCACCTTCTCGTTGTAGATCTCCATGTACGAGACTTCCACCTTGTACGTCAGTTCCGAGCTTTGCTGTTTCGCGATCATGTCGAACAGGTTGTCGCACAGCCGCGGTATGATACCCTTGTTTTCGCCGCTTCCCATCATCGTGTACGATTTCCCGGATCCTTTTGAAATCAGTCACCATTTTAGAGAACGCTACGATATAATTAAACTCGAGCGGAAAACGAAAGAGCGAAGCAGAATAATAATGCTCCGTCGTCGACCGTACGTCGGTCGTGGTCAAATCGATCTCGTAGATCTCCGATCTGTTGCGTCGAGAACGGTTTTCCGTTCGCGTTACGCGCCGCGTTAAATCCCCGTGAAAATTCTTGGACGCTCGAGAGAAACCCCTGACTCTTGAACACGATCGACGATGCGCGCGTACCTGCAACGTACTCTTAACCCCCAATTGACACCACTGTTTTCTACGGGCCTTAATAGGTTTAACTTCTCTCATCTACGGCTTGTTCGTAAGACGCGACGACATCCTATCGAGCCAAGTGCTCTGAGAGGATGACTACGCGCGCGGAGAAGTTAAGTCCGATTGATCGATGACAAGCGGGCGACTAAGTGCGAGAAGACGCGGAAGCCTTTGCGAGCGCGTAATCTCGTTCGCTCTCGCTTCTCGCCCGTCGCCTCCTCTTACCGACGACGACGACGCGCCTCGAGAAACGGATCAAGGGTAACGACTCTCTCAGGATGGATTTTGGCGCGCCGCCGTTACGACGGACCGCCGGACGTACGGATAGTTCGAAACGACGGAGTCGGTCGCGACGCAACAGCGAGTTTAATATGAGATCGTAAATTAAGTTTGCAGCGACGTCAGATCTCTGTTGAGGGATATGTTCTCCGGAACAGAGTCAGGGAAGGGGGATCTACGTGAGAACTCACCGGTCTGGCCGTAAGCGAAGATGCAAGCGTTGTAGCCCTGGAACGCGTTGTCCAAAATGTCGCGGCCCAGGGCGTCGAAGACCACGTCTTGGCTCGCGAAATTTTCCGCGGACGGATCCAGGGAATGGAAACAATGATCGAATGCGAACGTTTTCGGTTTGCTCCTGCAACCAAACGGAAAAGCACACCGTTAACTTTCACAAATATTTTTATCGTTCGTTGAACGTAGAACGATGCGACGGGACGATATGCACTTTCTGTGCACAAACGATTCTAGTGGCACGAGAGATAGATAGAAACAGAGTTGGTCTCTCGCGCGACGATCAGAGCGTATTCAATAGTCGGCCGTTTTCATGCGTTTACCCCGTTCCCAAGCGGTTCGGGGAAGAGCAGAGACATTGTATCGATAATTACAGATATACATCCTCGATCGGTTCACGGTCTCGCGGGACTTTCGCGACCCTCTCTAAAACCATTCCCGGTATTAAATCTGAACGTTCTCCGCCGGGGATGAAACCAGGCAAAGTGGAGTACAGTCTTCCAATTTCATTTCCAACAACTTACTCGGATCGAATTCTCTCGTTTACACGCGGATCCAGAACCGCGTGTCGTCTCAACGTCAAAAAGATTTCGTCGAGGCGAACGAACGGTGGCGTTTCCACGAATCGCGTTGGCCGCCTATCGATTTCCCGTCGCGTTTTCTCCCCGAGTAATCATTTCCTATCGGTTTTTCTCCCGGCCCTGTGAGAAACTGTCCCCGTGCCCTCGGTTCGTTCGCGACGATCGGGTCGAGAAGAATTTCTCGTCCGACCCGCGTGAAACGAGCTCGCGTCGCAAATAAAACGTCCACGCGATAGTAGTTTCGGCAAATTTCTGGCCGACGACGGGACGGCGGCGCTTCGTTTTAAGAGTAAGAACCGGCCGTGACGTTGTTTCGTTCGATCGAAATCGAACAGTCCGATTTGACTCTCGAGCAAGGGTCACCGGTGGGTGTGTGGAGAAAGAGCGCGTTGAATCATTAACTAGCCCATAGCGAAACGCGTGCTAAATAAAAGTGGTGGCGAGAGAAAGAGAAGAGAAAAAAATCCAGCGGGTGTGTAGACCCGTCGCGTCGGGTCGACATCGATCCACGTTCTCTTCGTTTAATTTTCACCCCGCGCCGCTGTTTCACTTGGCTTTCGTCGCACCGCCGTCGTCGCGCGTTTACTCATTCCGCGATATTTCCGTGGGCCCGGGAGCGCAAACCCATGGTTCGCCAATCGTTTCTCAACTGTACTACGTCTAAAGTCTAAACCGTTTACACGTGACGCTTTTGACGATCGCACGTTCCAACATTTACGACGAGACGTGCACCAAGTCATCCGACGACGAGAGCCACGCAAAAAGTCATCGATTAACGACGGAACAGAGATTACTCGTACGACCAGCGTATACACTTATTTAAAATTCTGATCCGCTGGCCTCGTCCATAAACAGCTATCGATGAACACACCCCTTCTAGAATACCTGGTTCTTCCTCGATGTCCTTTTTCTCTGGCAAGCTCGATCCGTCTGTGTAAACACGCGGTCGATGGTCACCGCCGCCGCCGCCCCCTCCCCCCTCTGGCAGAATGGGCGTCGAAAAAACGGGCGTCGAGAATCGCGGAAACACTTGGCACACGCAAATTGGGCGTTCGACCTCGAGACGAGAGCGAGCGAGCAAGAGAAAGAGAGAGAGAGAGAGAAAGAGAGAGAGAGAGAGAGAGAGAGAGAGAGGTGACGTTTTATTTTCGAGTTTTGTAGCACGATGCGAACCCGTGTACGCGAGGACCCGATGCGAAAGGTAATGCAGTCCGCTCGATAGCCCCCGCCCCCGTTTCAGTGGAGACCGAGCCCCTCGTGCTGGCCGGCTGACCATCGCGTGACAAAACCCCTTGGGAAACCCGATTCTAACGGGTGGAGAAGAATTCGGGCCATCTCTGATCGTAGTTAACCTTTCGCGATAATGCCGTTTAGATTTTTAATTGTTACACACGAAGTCTACGCGCTAATTTAATCGATCGTTAAGTACCAATTTTGATTATCCATCGGAGCAGAAACGATCTCCGAGTCTGTCGTAGCTACAGCTAGCGGTCAGTCGTTTCTCTCGTTTTCTATCTCCACGTTGCTGTTGAGAGCTTCGAGACTTGGCGTATGGCGTACGGCGATTTCTTTAAATCTCATTTTCAATTCTGGCGAAGCGATCTGACGTAGATCAATTTCATTGATCAACGACGGAGACTCGTCGCGTATCACACATCGTGAAAGATACTGTAAAAAAAAATTAGGAAACGAAAGGGTGGATGGTCTTTTATTAACGCCCCTTGGACAGTGTGGACTACGGGTCGACTATACTCGAGGTACGTATATGTATTTAGGTGAGATCGTAACGGCCTTCGACACGCGAGCCTCTGCGGTGGTCAGACTCGTCGTCAGTAGTACAAGTGTACAGGTGGTCAGGCAATGAAACTGGGTTATAATGGTCGGCATAAATGCTCGCGCATGACGTCTGACTCGACTACGGTTCGAGGTGGGTGTTCCAGTTTCGATTCTTACCGACTTTTCGTCCGGTCAAACTTGGCCACGATTCACGGACGACGTCGTCGTCGTCGTCGTCGTCGTTTAATAACATTTTACGGTAGACCTAGCCTCTCCTGCCTCCTCTCACAATTAGAATCCGTTCCACTTGATCTTCGTCGAACTGCGTCGAACGTCAATGTCGTTCTTTTTTTTAAATATGAGCACTTTCATTACTTCGTGAAACTCGTTAAATTCTAACTTCATTAAACGAAGAAGGTACGTTTTAATTCGTTCAAATTTCGAGCCTGGTACGACTCTCCTCCTCGCCTCGCTGCAGCTTTCTCAAGTTTCGGTCCACTCGATGTGGACTGTCGACTTGGAATTTGGAAACGCGCAGGGGCAAAGAAGTCTGTATACGCGATCTCGAAAAGATTTTTTTCACGTTTGCACAGTCTCGAGAATGAATATACAATATCGGTCGGATGGTCCGATATGACCCGTGAAACGAATTCGAATCGTCCATGGCCGAGGCTGGGCTTCGACGGGAAGAGAGGATGCAAATCGGGGAATGGAACGCTGTAGTGTAGGCGGCAGCTGGTCGACCCGGCGGATGTGCACGGGGAGTGAAGTGAGTGAATCGGGCCTTTAACGAAGGTAAACTTAATTAAGGTAGTCGTCGCTGGCGCAGCACGGCCAGCAATATGCCGACGCGTTGTCCCTCCCGTGTCAGGGAACTCGGAACCGTCTGCTGTCCAGACCGTCGTTTCGTGCGATTCCACCGTGACGATTCCGTCTCATCGAAAATTTGCCTTTACTCGTGTCACGCCGAACGCCGTACAATTTGTACTCTCGCGGACATTCACGCTGTGCAGATCAGACGGAAGTAGTACCAACGATAAAGGTACAGAATCCTGTTGTGGAAACTCCACGGACAGGACGGAAACCGATTCTAAGATTCACTGTGACAAATCGTAGCCGCAACATGGGAGGGAAATATATATAGGAACGTCCCTGAGAAATGTTCCTATCGACCGTGCCCGCGATACAACGTTCATTCTTTATTCATAACACTGTGAAACATTAAAAACCGTCCGACGGCATCGATTCTTGTCTTCCTCATCCCGCCGTTCCGTCTATCAGATTGTACGAAAAATCTTTCGGCCTCTAACTTATTTACGTGAAATCGTGCTCGCCTCTGGTCATACTTGTTTCAAGTGCCGTCTATTCTTCCACTTGTCCACAGGTGCACATGCCATGCGGAACGAGGCGCTGGGTGACAACACCACTCGAAAAACGGTCGTGTGCAGATCTGTCTAGGTCTCGCTTCCGGTCCACGTTTACACGTTCGACCAGAGGCAGAGAATCATCGCTGTCTACCTGTTGTTATGCCTTTCGATTTCAGTCACGAGTGTCTTTAATTGCGGTAATTAAAAACGACCGATCGGGGTTGCGAGTCGTCGAGACTCGACGAGATGACAGAGGCCCCGTGATATCCTCCTGCATTGTACGCCGATCTATCAACGACCGTGTTAATTATCGTGCGCGTAACGAGAAGGCATAACGATGGACACGTGCCGGTCGAGTCATGGGGATTGCACGAGAAACCGGTTGGATGAAAGCGTAACCGGTAGCTCTTTGCGCGGCGACGATGTTTCTGTGATGATGCCGATCGACGAGTCGTGCCAAATTTTGGAGCTCGAGGCGAATCACGTTTCCAAGTGAGAAATCGTTCGTTAATTTTTAAATAAACAGCGGAAACCGCGAGAAACGAGAACGTCAGACTCGGCTAACCCCGATGGGACGGAAATATTTCCCTTTCCTCCTACGTGGAAGAAGCCGTCGCTGCAGGTTCGTGACGCGAATTCATTAAAATTTGCGACGTCGTTACGCGGGCAGAATAAGAAAGCGACGGGACGCGTTCTCAAAGAGTAATATAATTCGTACCACGCCGTCATAATCCCCCGCGATACCCTTGTCTGAGAAAATCTCTCGATTTTTTATTTTTGACGGATTAGCGCGGTAATTAGAAACGTGTACGAAATATTGGAAAAAGATCCGAAACAAGTGTCCAGATTTTTTACGCTCTGTAAGCGTTCGATGGAACGGAGGAGTTTCGACCGAGAAGAAGAAGAAGAAGAAGAAGAAGAAGAACGAGCAGGCAAACGATGCAAAACGGAGAGCGACTCTCCTCGAGACAGCGACAATGGTTCGTTTGCACGGACGCGTTTCACGGGTTCTGACAAAGCCCGCGTCCGTCGGAGCTTTCGTGAAACGTTTCCAAGAGATTCGCGATTCCTTTCTTTCTACTCTTCTCCTCTAACTCCCCGGCATGAAGAGCGGCACGGGGGTGGTCGGGCCTCTGTGTCAACGAGCATCTGATCTCTCCTCCTCTTCGTTCCGGAGAAGGAGCCTTCTGGCCGTCGGCCAGCCTCCTTCCGATATCGTTTCGACCAAAAGTTTAGTGGACGCGACACCTCCGGTCACACCCGTGTTCCGGATCCGTCCTACCGACGAAACTGATACCGATTCTGTGACAGCAACGGCCAAACAATTGTTTACGAATGAAAATTAGTACAGCGACGCGTTCATACGTGCGACCCGTACTTCTCGTATTCACTGTACGGAA